GGGGGGGCGGCCGCGCGTGTTTCTCGGGGCGGCCGCGGTGCCGCTGCGGGCGGGGGGCGGCCGGCCGGCCTGCCGCGCTCCCTCCGGCGTGTCACGAGTGGGCCCCGCGGTGGGCGGCTCGAGTCATCCCCCAGCGCGAACGAAGGGGCTGAGAGAGCCCAGGCCGGGCCGGGCGGAGAGAGGCGAAGCCCCGCGGGGCTTCCCGGGCGTCGCTTCCCCGCGCCCGGCCCGGCCTCGCCTCCCCGTGTTCCCTCTGCCCAGCCACTCGCGAGCGTGTCAGCCCTGCCAGGGTCGTGGTAGTGATGCTGCCGTGGAAGGGGACCTCCAGCCTGTGCGTTTGAAGGGCTTTGTTGTTTGTAAGTTCTGATCAGGAGAAGTTTGCTGTGGTGAAAAAGAGATTTATTTGGGTTTATATGCACTGGAGGCACAACTGGAACGATGATGAGCTGTCAAAATAAATGTGGAGGTGAAGCTGATTGTTTAACAACAACAACAAAAAAAAAATCTGTGTAGCTTTCAAGGTGCTTAAATATTTAGCCAGGAATACTTAGTGGATTTTCAGGGTTTTGTTTCCTTGTTTGTTTTATTTTGCTTGTTTTGTAGCCAGATTTTGTCCTTGGTTACACCTGTATCCATCCACACTATGCCTCCCACAGAACTTTGGTGTAATTAAGGGAGGATTTGTTCACTTCAACAAACCTCCACATGGTTGGTGTTAGACTCATGTAAGCAATAAGGAACAAATGCTGAGGTTATGTCCAGATTCAATTTATCCACCATTTCTCACCTGGTGAGCCCATCCTCAAGTGCCCTGCTCAAACCAGAGAGACCAAGTGTGAATATGTGTTTATGGGCAGGAGAGAAATTTGTGTGCTTCTGTTTCAGACAAAATTCTGGTTTTCCTCAAACAAAGCCCTAGTTTGTGTCATTAAGCATTTTTATGGGAAAAAGGACTTGAGAATTTGGCTATAGTCCTTTTTGGAGAGGAAGTGAAGAGCAAGTTTAGAACTTGGGCATTTTAGAAAATGTCTTTATTCTGTTTCACTTCTTATTTGTTTATTTTTTACTTGAAAATAATTGCTGTGCTCTCTTTGCCAAGCCAAGCATGGCTACTACTTGCATCCTCTCATAATCCTGTATCACTAAAAAGGAGCACAGATACATTACCCAGTTCTGCCAGCTAATATCACGTTCAGATAAAACAATAGCTTGCACACTGAGACTTGACATACTTTTAATGTTCATGTGATAGGTGGCACGTTTTGACCTAACGATTTCATGCTGTGTTAAGAAATAATGTCACAAAATCGTTGTTAGGTGCTTTTTCCTGCAGCTCCGTATGTACACTGAGAAACTTTTTTCTGAAGATCAGAGGGAGATGAAGGTGTCTAAGGCACAACCCCATCGTGGCAGGAATCGCTCTGTGTGTTGCATGCAGCAGCCTGAAGTTTGTATTGTAATTCAAGTGTTGGTGAGGAGGTTGTGAGAGGCTGGTGGAGTGAGATGCCTCAGCCTTGGTGAGATGTTTCGGTGTTGATGTGTTTGAGTTGAGTCAAGAAGCTGTGGCTGCTGTGGAGAGATGTCCTGGTGTTAATACACCTCATGCTGTGGGCCTTCCCCCAGCTCGTTGGAGGCCATGGAGATTTTCCCCAGGTTCCAGAAGACGCTTGTGCCCAGAATGTAACAAGACTTTCTGAGCCCATGCCTTGTTCTTGAACTTCAGCCTTTCCTTGGGCTTAGCGCAGCTGAAAGGGTGTGGAGACTGTTTTGTCTGCTTGGTGTGAAAAACTGTGAGAAGAAAACTTCAGAATATTTCACCCACTGGAAATCTAAGCCACAATTCAGAAGAGGGGACACAGGTGGATGGTGGCTCGTGCAGGAGGAGACAGCCACTGTGGAAGGACAAGGCTGAGCTCTCTGCCTCTGGGGACAACCTTGGAGCTGTAGGGGTGTGGGCTGGCTGGGTGTGAGGTGTCACGCCAGGACCTACTTATGTATCAAGCTGCAAAAAAAAATGGAACTAGAACTTCCACACAGCTTGATTTCACCTGTCTTTTACTAAATGCTTTTGCTTTTTGTTGGGGTGACTGAAAAAGCCCAACCTGTGCAAAATACCAGGTTGTGTGAAGCTTGTGGATGGCAAAGGGACACAGGTGCTGCACAAGGACACAGATCCCATGCCACTATAACTTCAGGAGGAGTCATCCAGTCTGTTATGGTTATGTTGATAAAAGTTCCCATCCCTTGAAGCAAAACTTTAACCAGCTCCCACTCTGGGAACTGCTTTTCTGTCCAGGTGTCAGTAGCCTTGTCATACTTCTCAAGTGTAAATTGTTTGGTGTTGAAATAGAGGCCATCTGCTTCTGGTTATCTGTCTCTGCATTTGTGGCACCCCATACCTTGATGTCTCTAATGTTTGTGTGGGGAATACACAGGAAGAGGGAGTAAAATGAAGACAGTGGGATCTCACTGTGGATTTTTTCCTTCTTGGAGTGACAGCTGAGCAATTCTGGTGTCATTGCAGATGTAGCTGGATTGATCCTTGCCTGGCCTTGCAAGATTTCCATGTAGCTGTGTGCAGTAGGGGCCTGTCCCCTACACTGGGGAGCATTTTGGAGCCTTGACCTTCAGAAGCCAGCCCTTAATCTGTAGTAAAGCAGCTGAGATGTGGTCCTACAATTGGTCACCAGATTCTCCCTGAGTGGCCTTGCTGGACTGAGAGCAGCAAGCCCTGTGGTTCACTCCAGAGCAGTTACTCACACATTGCTGCCGTGAGCTCCCCAAATGTCCAGCCCGGAAAAGCAGGAAGGCACAGACACTCTGTACCTGTGTTACTGTGACCAGTGGCTTGTCAAGCTGTGGCTTTTCCCAGCTTGGAGGAGTCTGTGCTGCACTGCTGGTGTGTTTGTTACCAACAATAATAGCATGAGGTTCTCCAAACCCAGATGGGCATTTTAGACACCAGCTTGACAAGGAAAGGTCATTTCTCAGAACGTGATAAATCAGTCCATTGGAGTGACTTTCTCCATGATGTGCTCTGGCAGTGCTGGCAAGGAGGCTTTTGCAGAGCTCTCTGGTGAGGTGAGATTTCAGGAAGATGTTTGTCTCCCTCCTACCCCCTGGTGCAGAGGTGTCCGGGCAGGAGACTGACGTGACATGGCTGTTGATGTGCCGTAGTGAAGATGGTTTGCTGTGATGAGAAAGGAAATCTGACCTGAATGTTAAGATGGCTTAAAGCCTGGGAAGTACTTTATGTTTCCTGAGTCAGCTCTGACCATCCCTATGGAGTAAGCAGTTGGTTTCAGGTTTTCTGAACACTGAGTAAGGTAATGAGTTTTTTCTGCGGATGTTTGTTTAGCTTCAACTCAGGCAGCTCATCTGACAAGCCTGAAATGGGACACAGATATTTATAAAGCCCAGATAGAAGTGGGGTGGGAAGCGGGGGACTTGCATTTAAATGGGGATTCTTGTTTCATAAAACTGTCACAATTTCTCAGTGTGCATTTGCTGAGCTAATTTCTGTTCAGCACACAGGCATTAGTCTGTTTTGAGACCGTGCTAAATTATCGTCAGGTAAAGCCCAATATAATTAATTACAAATGAGAAATGCTGACAAATATTTGTCAAGGAGCTGTTTAATGAGCTTCAAATTCTGTGTCAGATGATTCCATCCACCCAGTGTAAATAATTTTTAAGCAATTGTTCCATGGTGTTTGTGTGGTTTAGGCAGATGTTAGCTGCAGCACTTTTGCAAGTTGCACAGATAGTATGAGACTAGATGGAGTAAAACTTAACAGCTGATCTGGGCTTTAAAATAGAGACACTACAGAAATGAAATATGCAAGTAGCAGGAAGGTTTTGAAGGTCCTGTGGTCTCAGTTGTGTGTCTGTGAGCACTGACAGTGTGGCTCTGTGTATGCATTTGAATGCAGGAATTTGCTTTAATAACTGGTGTGTGATACTCATCTCTAGGCATGGCCCACTGAAAATAGAAATAGCTTGGCTGTGTGACAGCAGAAGCTTTGAGCTGGACACTAGAATGGCTGGCTTGCTCTGTGCTTTTCCTGCCCAAATCATTCTCTTCTCACCAATCTTCTAGCTGGCCTGATTAGCTTGTTTGCTTAAATTCTTTGAGATTTCAAGCAGGTTTGTTCTGCCTTGTCTCTATCCCTTCATATTTCAAAAGGAATTTGATCTTCCTGCCTTACCACAGCAGCATCATAACATCAGATATTTGTTTAGTGCTGTCAGCAAATCTTGGTGGCCCTTCTTGTGTTTATTGACTGCTTAGATGCTTAGGTGTTTGTCCCAGTCTCTGTTTGCACATGCAAGTCTGCAGGTTTAGACCAGCAGAGAAAAGAAGGGAGTAACTAAATGAAGATATCTGGGGATGAGAGGAGGCATTAAGTTTTGTGTGACACTGGGATATCATAGGAAGCAATGCATTTATTATTTTTACTGTGTATTTAGAGGAAACAGTAAACTGACCTGAGATTAAATTTCGAGATAACCATGAGAGAGCAGCTAACTGTCTTGATGAAAACCTCAGTGACCAGACCTGAAAAAACAGCAACTCAAACTGAAGG